TCCGTTAAAATAGAGTAAAAGACTCCAGGGGATCTTTTATTGAGTAGGAAGGTTTAAAGTTCTTTGCTCAAAAACAAATAAATAAAATTCTTGGTGGTGTGATGTTCACAAGAAGGTCATGATTAGTTTTCTTCAGCGATGACAAATTAATTTCTTTTATATTCTGACAGCATTGACGTTGCGAGACATTAGATTCCGTAGAAAGGAAAGGAAATTTGTAAATGGACGATTTAATTATACAATGAGTTTGTGGGGAAGAAAAATACTTATTCTATTTATTGTTAGGAAATTTCAAACAATGACTGTGTCCTACTTCAAATAATTTTCTCCTTTTTTAGTCAATCGTCAACAGCTTTTGGTGTGAGCAGTAAGAGGAGGACAACACTTTCTTCAGTCTACACTGTTTACTGGTGACAGAAGTTTTGATAACGAGATCTTTTATGAATGCCACTCCGATGGACTGTCATGGTGTGTTTTTGAAACTCCATTATACCATCTACCTCATGTTAGACCACTATTCTGTCTAGCTCTACCGACCACTGTTCATTCATCAAAATCTGTCTTGTGAATCTCTCGCCTCGCCACCTTGTTGAAAATGGCAGTATCAGATATTCATTTCTTCTTGTCATCAGCCTCATTTCTTGCATTTTGACTCTAGATCATGTAATATGTGTTGACGATTTTGTTTTACCTACTTTTCTAGACCAGAAAATAACGCAAAATATAAAAGAATCCAAATTCTCAAGAATCTTTATTGTCTGCCCATTCATTTGATGCTAAGACTTGTGTATTTTTCGGTGCTTTCTATTGTCTCATATCTTCAAAAGTGAGAATTGAGTCAAAATTTTACTAAAAAACCTAGTGTAGCGACGGCAACATGACTAGTGTGTAGGAGCAATAGAAGCACGGTTCTCATTACCACTTTTTTCTCAATGTATATTTTTTAGAATTTTGACATCATTCTTTCAACTTCCATCGGTTGAAAACAACGGTGTCTCAAGAAAATAAGTTACAAACTTGATAGTGTAAACTAATTTTTGTGCATGATGACTGCTATGCACAATAATACAATTACGTTTCGCCGACGAATAATTGATCAGTTCCTCGGATTGAATGTCTACGAAGATGATAACTCATTGGTTATTGCTGAACAACGTTTGGCTACTCGAATTTATATAGTTCTTCTTTCTATATCGCTCATTGCTCTTTTCATTTTTACCGGATCGAGTGCGCAAACACGTGTCATAACCGTTTTTTCACCTACACAAAAAACCTTCGAACAACTCTCTGTCGACTATCCGTTGTCTTTCTCATGCGCCTGCTCCACAATCTCTATTCCTTACGGTAAATTCCTTGAATTTAATCCTATCTATCATCAAGTATGTTCGAGTAAATTTATTCAACCCGAATGGTTCTTGTCATTATTCAATATAACAACAAGTAATTATTATCCTCTTGATTTTCGTCTCATCGCTTCATCTCAGTTTCAAGTACTGGCTTTGCTCTGTAATACAGCGAATACAACTATTTCTGAAACACTCAAACAGTTTTCTTCATCGCAAATGATCTCAAGCACTGCACTATTTCGCGAAACATTCCACGCGGAAATAATGGCACTTGTTGTTCGACAACAAGCGAGAATAATGACCGACGTTTATCTTCTCAATCGGCTTGTATCGTTAAGTATGGCTCAAAATCGTCTAATATCCGCACTGCGAACTAACTTTTATCTGATAAGCACACCAGGCTCAGGTAGTTATATCGATTCTTCGGTAGTCTATTCGAAACAATTTATCGAAACAAATATGTCATTGGAATCAAGTAATAACAATGAAACATGTGGTTGCTTGGATACAGCCGATTGTAAATTTCCATCTGGCTTCTTCAATAAATCAGAAAATATTATGATACCTTTTAAGATTTTGGGATCTAATCCATCGCCATTGTCTTATGTACCGGGCATGCGGGCAGGCTGTCTCCCATACAACTCGATGCTGCAATCAACACTCGAATGTTTCTTCTCACAAACGTGTCTGGACACAATGTTGTCGTTCAGTGGCGCTCTGTCAACAGTCTTTCCTCTCAATGGCACTGCTGGTTTATCACGTTTCAATTCAAACACAACAATAAGCATCATATTCAAAGAGCTAATGGTCGAATCTTGGGGCAATACGAGCGATTTTTCTAAGTATTTTCGTGCGTGTGCACCACGAGAATGCACGTATTCCTATTCTCAACGGTTTAGCGTTGTATATATGATAACGATACTAGTCGGTCTATTTGGTGGACTCAACATAGTCTCTCGTATTCTGTCACCATTAGTCATCAAAGTTATTATTCAAAAGCTCTGTTCCCGATCGATAAAGAAGGATGACGAACGACCGACATCGTCTAATGGCCAAAAGCTGAGTAAGTTGATTCTCTTACCACTTAATTGGCCATTCTCTTTTTTTCTCAACATCTCTATGAGATTGAATTCTGGAAAAACGTCATTTGTACATAGGTTTTTTGGGAAAATCTATATTTAGACTGAGCACCTTGAAAAACCGCCATGTGCATGCACTTTTCGAATGATCTACTACGTTTAAATGCCTCACTATTGAAAAACGCTCTTTAACAGCTTACTGTGAACTTCATTCGAAGAAGAGTGTGTAGGGAACTTACATTTTTGGAATGCATGCGTGTTTGAACACTCATGCTGTTAGTATTTTATTAGACGAATAATGGAACTATGTTGCAACACCTCATCTTTCGTTTGCGCAGCTAGTCTCGTTTGAAAACGCATTTCTTTGTTAATAGAAATTCCCATATGTCTTATTGCAACTATCAGTAAGACATTCTATGGCGTCGAAAGCTATCGTTATTAATGATCATAAATAGAACAATCAAACAATTCTCAGACTTTGATGCATCTACTAATGGAAAAGTTATTTTCATTCATCTCTCTACAGCATATATTTAAGATGCTTGTTATGATGTTCGATAGGAAGTTTCATTCTTTAACACACTGGGGGCGATGCGAGCCACCACCATCTCAGACCATATTGTAAGAAAGAAAGTAATTAAAAAATATTTACTTTTTGCTTTTTTCCAAAGCAATGGATGACTGATACGCTTTCTACATGCTCTATTTCCTTCACTTTATGAATAATCTATTACATGATATGATGCTTCTGGTTGAAAAAATCGAAGGCAAAGAATTTGTCGTAATCGCAACAAAAAGTTTTGATTCTCTTCGCTTCTGTCATAAGTACTTATCTTAATTGTGACTGGCTGTGGACATAAGTATTCTCTCAAGTGACAACCTCACTCATCAATTCATATCTTCAAATAGTTCGAGTCGAATTAGAGTTCCATGACGTGTAGGAATCACACAGGAGAATACAATAAAATTAGAATCCAATAGAGACCGTCGTTGAAATAGTCGCATGATCATCACTTTCTCTTTGTATTATCTTTCTTCTTCTGTCTTCCAAGAAAACTAGTTAATTTCATCCGCATTAGAAAAGAGAATGCACAAAAAAGGGACTTTCTGTTTTTTTAATCTCATTTCTACTGTCCGCTACGTAAGAGAAATGAAAAATCAACTTCAATAGTAATTCAATTCGACGAGAAAACGAACTGTCCTTATCATAATAGAAAGAGAAGGAAAAAGAGAAACAACAACTGACAGCACATATTAAAAAGCCTAATCAGTATTATCTTGAAAACATTTCAACAACAATATGTCTGAAACTACTACCGACTACTAGAGAACGCATTTTGTGATAAGTAATAGTCTGGCTATCATAACAAAAGGCGACAAAACATTATTGCTTGTAGCATCACCATCGATTTCTGTTATATAGAGGCTATTTTCTCTTGCGGATTATTACTTTGATAATGGTTTTCATCCAACATTGGGATGATAGATCCTAGTCTAATAGCCAGCATTAGTATCACATGTAATCCGTTCATGACTTATAAACTATTTTGAACGTTTGAGGGTTCAACAAACAAATGAAATTACGCTTATGACAGAGAAGCTCAATGACACATACAGTCTTTCTCATATCGAAGAAATCGTCGAAATTCTTTTTTTCCCTTGCAAAAATGTTCTCTTTTAACCCTGGTACTAATCGTTGACCAGTTTAGATATCTTCTGTTGCGTGTACATGTTAAATAAAACATTGTACACGTGAAAACGAGAGAAAACTGCGCATGTCTCAATGTCGCTTTTTCACTTTCTTTTGATATTGAATAGGTGTACAGGAACATGCCATTAAGTTATTGATCCAATTGCGTGCTATGCTCATGGCCATTAATTTATTCAAAAAAGAATTGATCGATATTCGTCATGGAATTTATTCGACTCGTATTTATGTCATCTTGCTCAGCATAGCTGTGCTCATTCTAACTGTCTATTCGTCTATAATCCAAGATACGCAGAGTATCATCGTGCATAATCCAACGCTTGAACAATTCGAACGGCTACACTATCAATACGCATCAACTTTATCTTGTCCATGTAAACGTCTTTCTGTTTCCCATATGAGTATCATGACAATTCAGCCAATCTTTCATCAGGTATGCTCAAGCACATTCGTTCAAGATAATGGCTGGCTCCGATATTGGCCACTTGAAGGGTCCCGTGCACCGACAATAAATAGTTCAGTCCTTGCTTCAACTGACTTTCGCTCGACCGGTCAGCTATTATTTGATCTGCTACAGACATACTGCGATCTTGCCTTAGAAACAGTAACCAATGCGCTGGACGCATTCAATTCGACACAGTTTGTTACTGCACAATCACTGGGACGAGATGACTTCAATAGTCAAACATCGATTCTACTCGTGAGATTCATAGAGCAGGTAAGATTTCTTACAATTTGAGTTTTAAGTTTGATCTACTGTCTATTGAATAGACGACTGCATCATTTCTTGCTATGTTCAAGCTCGTCTATAACTCTATTCGTCTAAATCAATTGATTGTCGATGGAGCAACGAATGTAGGAATTTCAATGCGATTAATCAATGGCTCGTGGAACTTTCGATATGCACCGAAAACATTTCGAAATGGAACAAGTAAGTGTTCATGTGGACCGTCAAGTTCGTGTCAGAAACCTCAAGGATTCTACTGCCAAACTTTAGCCTGTCGTCCATTCAATGCACTACCGAACCGTACCATTCCGGGCATGTTCCTCGGCTGCTTTCCTATCGATTCCATTCTTCTATCAACACTTGAATGTCTTTATGATCAATCATGTGTTCAAATGCTGATCGATTGGCGTCTATTTGACTTTTCTGACATTCTTTTGCCAGTCAATTTAACAAATATCACTGCACTCGATCGACTAGCTCCAAGTCGGTTCCTACCGAACACATCACTTGAAATCATAATTTCACAATTATTGATCGAAAACTGGACAACGAGTGTCAATTTTCGTGATTATTTTGCTCATTGTCAACTGGATCTATGTAGGTATACGGTTGTACGACAACATCAACCTATTTTTGTCATTACAAATGTCATCGGTCTTGTGGGTGGAATTATAGTCATACTTCGACTTTTGGTTCCACATGTAGTCAAGACTGCTCAACATGTTTCCGACAATTGTCAGAAGCGTCCTTCAACAAATACTGGTCAGTAATCTTATGTGCTAGAATAGAAAACTATAAAGTCACACATTGGCTATTGTAGATACTGATTCTCGACACTTCTGCTCACTGATGATACACATTGGACGAAGGATTCAGACGTTGAACATATATGACAAAGAACAGGACACTATTGATCGATTGTTGGCTACTCGTATCTATTGTGTTCTACTTCTCGTTTCGTTTGTCATTGTGGCTTTCTTTCTTGGATTGTCTCAACGGACGTACTCGTTTACAATTAACTTACCTACTGAAGCTCAAGTCAAATCTCTTCGTTCTCAATATCCAGCAACGCTTACATGTCCTTGCTCACAAATATCCGTTCGATACGCAACATTTATGGCTGCTTCACCCATTATACATCAAGTGTGCTCAAGTTCGTTTGTCTCATCGAATTGGTCAACAATTTTGTTTAACAAGGGCGATCCCTGGATAGAGTCTGACTGGTTCTTGCTCAGTGCTCACTTTCGTCTCCTATCATCAATGTGTGAGTTGACTCAAATAGCTATCAATCAATTGATATCCGAGTTCGTTTCGAATGAGTTGATTAATACTGAAACACTCTCACTTGATTTGTTTCAAGCTCAACTTAATTCGGCCATTGCAGTATTCATCCAACAAACTCCACTCACATTTCGTCGCCTACTTGCCTTCATGTCCGATACATGGCGATCAAATCAATTGCAAGATCAATACATGTCAAGTTGGAAAACAGATTTTTCAACTGCACGAGAATATTATATTATGCGCACAATTCCTACAGCATACAACAATGATACATGTATATGTGCTTCGGGCATATCGACGTGCTCGAGACCACTCCACCTTTTGGACTTGAATAATCGGTCAATAACTTTGATGGGTAATTTTTGTAAATGATTTATTGTCTTTTGATTCATTCGTATTTTCTATTTTCAGGCTTTGTCATCGGATGTTTGCCCATCTATGGATTCCGCCAATCGACACTGGAATGTCTTTTTGAACAAACATGCCTAGATCAACTGATTACACTAATGAACTATTCGATAGCTATCGTTGCACTCAATTCATCGTCCACCACTCGATATCCACCAAAGATGACGGCTATTGGTACAATCATTGACGAACTATTTATCGAGTCGTGGATCAATTCGTCGAATTATTCGAGCTATTTTCATCAATGTTCTCCATCGACATGTCAATACTCGTATGTCGAACGCAATAATTTTCTCTACTTATTGACTACTCTGTTGGGATTGTATGGAGGATTAACAGTTGCCCTGCGATTCATCGCTTGGTATGGATTACAACTCATGCAATCATTTCTGTCGCGGTATTGTCGTTCAGTACATGTGTCTCCATTGGATGGTGCCGCGTGAAGATTTAGCATCAGCAGCAGTAAATAACAATTTTCGGTGTTGTTTGCAATTTAATTCTCTTTTGAAATGTGTAAATATCGTCAATAAATGATTGCTTTGATTATAGATGTAAATGGCATAATAATTACGGATGATGTGTGCGCCATAGTCTAAAAAAACGAAGAAACTGTTCCAACTGAATCTTCATTTTTGGACCCATATTTTCTCAGTAGTCAGGGGTAACTAGACTAAAATAACTATCAAAGGGTTTGTGATCTTATTGACATTTAACCGCGATATCGAATATTGTTGAATTATTCCCTTACAATGTCCTAGTTTTCCCGGCGAAATCATGTTTTCGAATTGCAATCTGAAACATTGCTCACATAAATGTCATTAATAGAGTAGCTTTCAGAGACATTTTCAGACTTTTTAAACAAAGTTTTGCACAGATACGAATTTTTCAAATATCCTTGTTTTGTTCAGTGTCTGAAATAATTGAAGGAAAATAGGTATATCGACCAAACGTAGATGAAGTTAGCACCGTATTCGAGTAATTCCTGCCTATATTCGCTCAATTGGTTTTCACCATTGGATAGAGAATGTTGAATTCTACTTGGAACACAGATGAGACCACTTGGAACGCTTCCTGGGCGAATATGGTGCTAACTTCACCTACGTATCGACGAAATATCAATGTGAATACGAGCTCATCGAAGATTATTTTAATCTCTTACTGGAAACTATAACTATTGTTCACCAACACTGAAAAAAATGTAGAATAATAGATCCTTTCGAATGGTACATGTCAGATTTTTTCTGTTTAGTTCCATTCACCCTTTAGTTCTAGAAGCCGATTTGTGTACGCTCAGCGTAAATATGAATGAGAGAAAAAATACTGTAATCTGATGAAATTTACTGTGTTACACACTGCACAGAAAAGTTTAAATATATATGTAAAAGTTATTCACAAAAAAATTTACTACATTGATTGGGAAAGCCATTGTCAAAGATTAAATAAATAATTACACGAAGTTGAATTTACTCAAGATTTTATTCAATAAGCACTTAATGGACAAAGAGCAAAACAGTAGAAACAACCGTGAATTCTAAAACTTGTTAACAAGGCCGTTACTGTATTTATAGGTAAAATGGATGAAACACGATCAAAATCGTCAAGAGTAGGACTTTATCGAGTGTGGATGTCGGTAGATGAAGGTCTCGTCTTCACTCACACCTACCCAACTTCAAGTGATAAAAAATTGTTATCCGATATGTAGAGGCATTTGTCAAATGAAGCTCGATATCTATGAACTAATGTACTATTGTGAAACATAAGTAGATTATCTGGAAAATCATATCTTTTCTTCCATATCATCTTAACTATTATGGAGGTATAAACATGAATGAAAACTTTTGATAAGCTGTTTTCTATCAAATGTTCAGCTGTAAGCTAAAAATCTTAATATATATGAAATGAGCTTTGCATAGAATTAGAACTGGCATATATCGCATAAACAAAGAAAAAAAAGTAAACTTTTTAGATTCTTGGATTTCAAATCGATTCAAAATACAAAAATCTCCTATAAATTCAGAAAACCAAGAACTAAAAGCCAATATTTCATAGTTGAAAAGCACAAACTTCCATGATTCTAAAATCTGAACGTTTATGTCGAGTTGAAAGTCCCATATTACTAGACAAACTGTTCTTTATCTGCAGAATAATCAGTACTTGATCACATCAGTAATAGTCTATAACGAAAAAGTTATTATTGCTAACACATGATACTGCCTGAAGAAATCCTTCGGAAATGTCGAAATGACTAGTCCTAGCGTTTCTTTTCATAATGCTTATCGTCATCTTCCACGCGAGCTAAAATCAAATCAAACAAAAATAATATCTTCTCGTTTATTTTTATTGAAATGAATAATTTATAAATATAATGTTGTATTATACTAGTAATCCTAGAATGCTACATGCTGGGTTTTTCAGAAATCGAAAATCTTATTCTAGATCCTGCCGTATTTCTAAGAGTATATTGACCCCCTTCAGATATGCTACAGTCACTAACGTCGATTCTCATGATCGATTCGTTGTTAATAAACAATTGAATAAGACAATCGACAATCGACACTTGAAACTGTGATCAATCGATTCTCATGAAAATAAATGTATTGAAGACTTATGTTATTGAATTTCAGTGAATTGTTTAGCAATTTTACCCCATGATCGCTTATTTGGTTCTTTTCTAACCACAAATAAGTCAACACTTGATTGAATTTTAACATTTCAGCTCGATGTTCCGCACCTTCATCTGTAATGAGATTCCAGCCAAGATAAAATGTTCTCAAAGTTGAGTCCTTCATCCGAAGTGCTTGTTGGAAGATAGTTTAGGTTCAGCTACAAGGTGAGAAGTAATGTAAAGATCATATAAAAGTATTACTGGAATTAGTATCGTAATGTTCTATGTTTTCTCTTCACTAATCAAAAGAGAATTCACTGACTGTAGATGATCTTAATAAGAGATATTTATCCGATAAATTGAACTCCGCAATCAGAAGTATTAATTTTATGTCATTCGTCGACTCTTATTAATGACGTAACGCAATATCGGATAAATTTTTGAAGATTGAAATGAATATGAAGAGAGCTGCGCGAGTACGACTATGAAATGTACTCTGGAATCAACATCACTCCCATAAATTTAGAATCAGCGGAGATGTACTCTGATCGACGTATGTACTGGGAAAAAGTTTAGAATCGGTGGGGATGTACTGTCATGTACTATTGTGTACTGCGTCGAAAAACTTAGAATTACTTGGTATGTACTCTCATGTACTATCGAGCGTGGGTGTAAGCGTAGGATACGGATATTTTCTCAGACGGAGACCAACACTCACACCGCACACCCGCGACAAGTTTTACATGAAATTAAAGGCAAGGATACCCTGGACATTTGGACAACAGATGGAAAGTTGATGACATAAAAAATGATGAAAACATTTTATACAAGTACATATTTGTCCGACCGTATCAATGACTTTCTCTACTTTCATTCATTAATGGTAATCAAAATTAGAGCCGAAGTGATATGTGAATCAGCAGCGTCAATTTTAAAAGGACATATTCATAACAACCGTTCATTACATCATGATTCGTTAGATAACGAAGTAATGCTTTACTGAAATGTTCTCCGGTTTCATCTCGCTGATTCATTTATCAAATATTCACTGGATGATTACTTTAGTAGCAAGAAGGAGAAAAATTGGTTATTTTATAAAAAGAGTGAACAATATTAAACATGGAAACCTATATGGCCTGGCTCTGTTGTAATAAATCATTTGAGAAAAAAAAGTACCAATATTATCAAAATCAATCGATAATTAATAGAATGGATTGCTTTTTTAAATCACCCTATTTGTTTTAAGTAGTTCTTTTTCGATGCCTTTTGTTTATAGATATATATCCACAGAAGGTCATGTTTTTTTGATTTTCCTAGCCTTGGAATTTTTTTACGGCAGATTCTGCACCTCTGAGTATAAATGTCTCTGATCGAATCTACTCTAATACAATCTGAAACTGGCTTCGTCGCATCGAAAGAAATAGAATTTCGAACTACCGTTAAAACGATTTTCCAGAAACGCATTAAAACTTT